AGCAACAAATTTGAAAAATTGAGGCTAAACTTTTCAATATGCGTGACTGAGCTCCTTTAAGTTTCATTTCTAACTATGATATCTGTAAATTTGCCAAGATGAAAACTGGAGGACTTCTTGGTTGTTTTAGCTCCTCCAGTCCATCAAATATACATATTTGTAAACCAGATTTGCTTGGTATGATAGGTTTGAATATGCTCATGCTAAGTGTTAACCTTCTTCATCTTGTATTTTAAGTTCACCAGAAGATGAAGATCTAGACACTCCTATCTTGGAACAATTCCGTAGCCAGCACTTGGAGGTACTGTTCATGTAGTAAACAGAGTTCATAACTTACCATCTGTTCATAAGTAGAGGCATGGTGGCCTCATGGTTAGTGTGCTTGCAGCCAGATCAAGTGATCCGGGTTCCAGCCATGGCTGGGGACATTGTGTTGTGTTCTTGGACAAAATTAATGCTAGGAGTAACCCTGTGATGGACTAGCAATCCCATCCAAGGGGGAGTAGAAATACTCATGGTTGCTTTGTGCTGCTGAGACAAGAGATACTATAAGCACCAGCCTGATGGGCCTCTTGGCTCATATGCATGTACATGTACAGACTGTACCTTTACCTACATGTACAGTCTTAGTGGCAGTTTCTAAATCACATGACATTAGTGTATCAAGTTCTCAAGTGGTTTGTGTTTTTTTTTTCTTTTTTTCATTTGCTACTATCTTTTTCCTCCAAACAGGAAACTTTTCAGGATCCCAGTGAAATAAACATTGATTCAGAAGACTTCAAGGCATTACCACCAGAAATTCAACATGAATTGATCAAAGAGGTACAAGCAGAGAGAAAGTGGATAAGCAAGAATAATTTTCATATTTCAAAGGTATGACAATCATGGAAAATTCTTACAGTGAGAATGTTCAGTTCCAGAAAATATCCATACTCCCACCACAGAAGGGATTGGAATTTCCTGGGGGGTGGGGGTTTCTGTAGACCAAAAAATTTAAAGAAATGTGTGAAGTTCAATCGGAATTTCCAGAGGGGTGGGAGGGGGGACTTAGAAAAATTCCCTTTGGTGGGGTAGGTATGGATATTTTCTGGAACTACACAATACGAAACATTGTGCAATCTTCAAAGTTAGATTCTCTGTTACAGTAGGTGTGTAATGTAAAGTACTGGCAAATTTGATGCTGGGGGATAATTTTTAGCACTATGGAACATTTAGGCCTGATGAAGACTTGTAATAACCTTTTACATTTATTTGGCTCAGTTGCTGTTTTTAACCTGAAAACCAGACTCTCTTCTTTCCCGTGAAAAGTTGAGAGCATAAAGTTTTTAAAACCCCTTACGTCGTTCACTTCCAACAAACATGTTTATCTTGCAATTGCCAGACAAGAAACAGACCTTGAACACTTTATCAACAGCTACATCAGATGACAAACTACACTTTTTGCCTCAGAACTGAAGCAAAATTTCCGTTTCTTTTCTTTCAATTAGCAAGCAACTGACTTTTCCAGCTTTCAACTGGAAGGAGTCCTAAAGCGAGGTAAAATGAACCAGCGACTTGAAGAACTCTACAAAGAAATGAATGAACGACATTCGGGAGAGCTGGCAGGAATTGCGTCGGAAGACTCCGTTGGAGAAAACACTGCTGTTAAATCGCAAAAGATTTTGTCAGAAGACAGTTCGCACTATATTCTAATAAAACGAAACGAATCACAACAGGCTGACAAGCAGGAAACTGGTGACGGTAAGTTATTCAAACATTTTAATGTTAATGAATGATCAAGATCAATATTCTCCTTCCGATTTTAATACATTTTCAAACAGACCGGTGATGAGAGGAAAGAAATTCATCAACAAGGGAATATTGTCTTCATCTAACGTACAACCAAATTTTCATAACTTATTTTTTCCAATTCTTGATTGTTATTTTTTCAGAGGCATGTTCAAAGGATTTTTCCAATGAGGGAGGTTTCTTCCGAGAAGGTCAAGACTGTGAAATAATAAGCTGGACAAATCCACGCCCCAAGCCATCATCGGCAGCAAAAGTTCCAAGCTTTGATATTCCTGAACTTTGTTCCAGCGACTCGGAAAACTTGTCGCCTTTGTTGGATGTGGCAGAAGCTTGTCTTTCGCCCACGAGTCCTCAAGCAAAGAAGAGTTCTTTTAGGTTTTCTCCAGTGAAGATTAAAAAGTCACTTCAGAAAGCTTTGTTAGGGAAATATGATAATATAGTGGAAAAAGAAGAGCTTCAAAAACAGATTTCTCAAGGTTGTGACGACCTTGGATCAAAACATGAACCGGAGAAACGTGATCTTCAAGATTCTCACTTAGACCAGCTTCGTGGAAGAAGCAATCCAGAAAGGGAGGTGATCTTTGCGAGGGATTCTGATGAAGATACCGAACTGCTGACTCAAATTAAAGACAAGAAAAAAGAACTTGATGATCTTATAAAGAAATGGAAAAACTCAAAATGTCAGAAAACTGTTATTGATTTAACGGCTAATACAGGTGATGGAAGTAATATTGCAGAAAAAAAAGAACTGCCCCTTGGCAAGTCGGAAAGTGTCGAGGTTACGGAAACCTTAGAAAAACAGCAGGAATGCACCAATATTGAAGGAACAGAAAACATGCAGACAGCTTTAGTTATTGACGAGGGGACGAAGGGACAAGAAAAAGTTGTAGATGCAGTGTGTATTAGTGAAAGTGAATCTGAAGCTAGTTCAGTGGAAGATGTGACAGCTTTGGTCAAACAAGAAGATGGTGTTGTTGAAGATAGAAAGAGTAATGTTTCTATGCAAGAGGTTGAAATCACGATCTCAGCAGATGCTACTAACGATGTTGTCAAAGACAAATCGAATGCTGTTTCTTCTGATGCTTTACAAGAAGTTCAAACCACACGCACAGAAAATGCTGTGATTGATGTCGCTAAGGATAAACAGAGTTTTGTTTCGCCAGTCCAAAGCACGCTCTCAACAGATGTAACCACTGAGGAAGATCAAGACGATTTACATCTATCTGGAACGCAGAAAGACGCTCATTTAGATATAAACGCACAAGATAATGAAGATATGTCAGTTATGGAAAAACAAGACTCCTCGGAAGAAGGGAGAGTTAAGATGGATGTTGATGAGCCTGTGGCGGGACTGTCTGGTCTCCCTGTGGAATGGCAGGGTGCCACAGTGGTAGGTGTAATGCAAAGTACTGTGTGGTCTTGATGTAACGAAATCCTCGGTGATGTAGCAATTTTTTTCTCTTTCAGGACGAGTTGGAAGACATTCGAATGGATCTTGAATCGGAGCAGAAATCTCTAGCGTCAGAACAAGCCAGACAGAACCGTATAGCGGCCACTGTATCCAGTGAGATGTTCGCTGAGTGTCAGGTGAGAGCTGGCTGGCCACACAGGTGTAAACATTTAAATTGTTTTCTGGATTACAAGATGAGCTCTCTAAGGCCCCGACCACTATACGCCGGAGAAATTTGAAAACGGAGGTTTCACTCTGAAAACGCATCAAACGTTTTCCGTCCACAGGACGTCGGAGGAATTTAAAAACGAAACAATCACCGGTCATTTTGCATTTGTGTTTGAGGAAAACTCTGGCAGGGAGATCACGTGATTAACGCGTGACGCCATCGTTTTCGAAACGCTCCGTTTTCAAAATGATTTCCGTCCACACGAAAATGAAAAGGCGGCGTTTTCAAATTACTTGAAGAGCGTTTTCGAAAAGCTCCGTTTTCGTGACGGATTAGTGTGGACTGTAGGCCTAACCATAGCAATAAAGCTACGTTTTCAAATTCCTTCGGTGTAGTGTGAACGGGACCTAAACCACTCGGCTATGTTGTGTTGCGTTCATCTCTGAAGGTCTTGAATGGAAAGTCGCTTCCCTCAGAATGAATCTTGCATTGCAGCTCCAGGGATTTACCATCCGTTTTTCCTCAAACTTTCCTTTTGGCCTTATTTCCTTGATTGATTAAGATTCCTTGACGACCCTTCCAGGAAGTTGCATGTTCACATGTAAAGTGACATTTCCCACCTTCTCCTACTGAGGAATTACAGAAGTGTGCCACAAAAGTAACCTTCTCTCCCCTCCCTCAGGAACTTCTCCAGTTGTTTGGTGTCCCGTATCTTGTGAGCCCTATGGAGGCCGAAGCCCAGTGTGCAATGTTAGATGTGCTCGGGTTAACACAAGGCTCCATCACGGACGACAGTGATATATTCTTATTCGGCGGCAGACGAGTCTACAAGAACATTTTCAACCAGAATAAACATGTGGAGATGTTCGAAAGCGATGCGGTCCAGAGAAATCTTGGTAAATTTGGGCATTCCTTCTTCTGTATTCTCCTGTATTTTCTTCAGTTAAGTCGTTTTAAGAACATTCCTCAGGCTCGGCAAAGCCGGGCAAAGCTACAGTGTAATAGACCATTTTACAGTTGTCTGCTCAGCGACCTGGCCTTTGTATGGCAGCGAGGCTAGAGTTGACCTTGTTTTGATACAGACCTCACTGCTTTTGTTGTGTAAAACAAGTTGTTCTGATGCTAACTAGGTGCATTWACATGACAAAAGCAGTGAGGTCTGTATCAAAACAAGGTCAACTCTAGCCTCGCTGCCATACAAAGGCCAGGTCACTGAGCAGACAACTGTAAAATGGTCTATTCGACACATCGTATTCTGATTAGGGGTTGAAAGAGCGGTTTTGGTGACGGTTTTGGTACCTCTTAGGGTCTTCAGCCTCTAAAGGTCCACTGCGGGAGCTTTAACTGTACCTTTAAGGATATTGAGCCGAAACAAAATATTACAGGAGACATTTGACAATCAATTCTATGAGTAGAAGGTATTCGAAGCAATCGTCGTTATCGCTATTGAAAATTACGAGCGTCAGTTAATGTGTTGTTTTAGAATTGGTGCCTCTTAGGGGTGAGAAAAATTCAAGCGACGCCCACAGAACAGGATCATGCTACCTCTCAGGGGTTCTTTTAAAAACTTCCGACGAGCACCCCCGTCCTCTTTATATTGGACTCCCTCCAGGGCAAACATTATTTCTGAGCTTTTTGTTTTAATTTTAGTCAAACGAGTTGTGTTTTGTTTTAGCGCTAGACCGTTCTCGACTTATCTGCATCGCTTTCCTCACCGGAAGTGACTATACTGAAGGCATACCAGGTAAGTTAACGTTAGAGCATCCAATTGATTTGTATTGTCACGAACAAATCAATTAACCCACTTACAGCATGAAATTGTAAAAAGGGAAAAAGTGGTTCTAAAGGAAAAATACTAGCTTTGCCAACTCTTACATGTATTTGTACTGTTCTTACAAGACGTGATTTGTCACGCCACATGAGACTCGCTGTCTAGCGTTACTAAAAAACTTAGACGGTAACGAAGTGTCACTCCCTAGATTCACTTGCACTTGGTTCACATTTAAGGTGTCACGCAATGCCGCTGTAACGTTTTAATAAACCTTAGTTGGTCACGGACCGTCACTCCCTTCGCATTTATCAAGTAGTGCTACATTTTCTGGAGAGTGCGCGGGTAACTATCTGTCTTTTATCTCTCTAATGGACTTGTCTTCTTTTTCCAGGTGTTGGCGCAGTTAGTGCTATGGAGATTTTACATGAGTTTTCTGGCGAGCGGCTTGAAGGACTCAAGAAGTTCAAGTAAGTTGAAATCTTTGTGCAGCTTGAACCCTATGAAGGCAACTAGTTTTGAAAATTGAAGAATACAAAGGGGTGGAAAAGTCAATTATTTCGTTTCTACAGCTTCGTTCTGTTGGAGTCTAGGGATCAGCTTGTCACAAGGGTGTTTCTTCAGGTTTTTGTCTCTCTTTTTCCTGCGTGAATCTTTTGACGATCAATCATGTCTTCATATCTTTCTCTGCAGTTCAAATATGTGATCTTTCATATATTCACTTGTATTCTTCACTATCTACGGGTATATAACGAACTCACAAAGTGACCAGCTCCCAGTTAGCTCTGATAGCTCAGTTGGTAGAGCATTACACCGGTATCGCAGAGGTCATGGGTTCGAATCTCGTTCAAGCCTAAATTTTTTCAGGCTTTAATTTCAAAGCTGCTGAAGCTGTGTATATAAGTGCGATGAGCAATCATGTCTTCATATCTTTTTCCACAGTTCAAATATATGATCTTTCATATGATAACTTGCATTCTTTC